AGGGGAGGGGAGGGGAGGTACCGGGAGGGGAGGTGGGAAAAAGGAAGGGAAGAAAAGGGAAAAAGAAAAAGTGCATCTGTGAACAGACTGCCCATCACTTAGATTCAAAGTAGGTAGAGGAGTTTAAGGGGAAGAAGGAAGAAACTGTTGGTGGTCCTTTTCTGCATAACAGGGTCAGGAGGGGAGAGATGCTTGGGAGGGGCAGCTGGGGCTGGGGCTGGCCACCCTGACAGAGAGCACGGTGTGGGCAGTGGGGTGCTCTGCTGACCCAGCAGTCCAGAGCAGATGAGGCAGCTGGTACTCTGTTGCCAGCCAGAGGCAGCAGCAGGTAGAAATCAGAGCCAGAGCCCCTGTAGAGTTCACAATTACCCATCTTCATTGGTGCATCAGCACATTTTCAGTGTCCACCCCAGTGACCTGTACTGACTTTTTACACAGTGTCAATTTGCGGTCACCAATCTACCATATACATACATATTCTTCTTCACTCTGTATTCAAATATTGCTCTCAAGAGGGGTCAAAATAGTGGAATGATAGGGCAAGAATACATTGCATTCATTGGAACTTTTTCCTAAGCCCATGAAGGCATTTCTTTTTCATGTGTCTTGTTCTCCACACATTCTAGCTTTCTATTTGTCAAGGAGTCATACTTCCTCAGTCTATAGATCCAAGTAATGCCTTTATATAGTTTTCTTCATCCTGGGCAAAGCATTCCATTATGTAATTTTCCTGAACACATTAATCCATTGGTACAGTGTGTATGAGCAAGGATTCAGCTCCTCAGGCTTTTTCAGACGGGGGAATGTGCATCATCTGGGTGAAGCCTTGGACTTCTGACAATGCCATGAGTAGTTCCATTGTCATCATGTGCAGTGTGATAGATTCCATATTTCCGCAATGATGGCTGTGATGCACCCACAAAGGAACCCAATCTTGTTTCATTGCTTACATTAAGTTACTTTCAAAGAAACAGATAGGAAGGAAGAATACTTATTTTAATGTCATTACTGATTATCAAGTGAGTGCTTACAAGGTACTCTGCACATGTGTGAAACACTTAACATACATGATTTCATTTGATCATCAGTATAACCCTATTAGGTACTCATATTTCCCCACTATACAAAGAGGTTAATTAACTAAGTACAACCAAGTAAGGCTGCTGGGATTTAAATTCATGAAATCTGTTTCCAGAGTCCAGGCTTAGACCAGAGTTGGGGAACCTTTTTTTCTGCCACAGGCCATTTGGATATTTATAACATCATCGGAGGGCCATACAAAATTATCAACTTAAAAATTAGCCTGCTATATTTGCTCAAACATTTAATTAACTCACCCCTAATGCTTTGGCAGGGCCACACCAAATGATTTCTTGGGCTGGATGTTCCCCACCCCTGCTCTAGACCAACACATAATCTACATATGTGTCTGTGAGGAAATGTTAAGAGATGTATCTTGTGTTGTTTGGAGGTGAGGAGACTTCTTATTTCTTTCTCCCTTTTTCACTTAACAAGGTCTTTCCACTACTAGTATATTCCTTCCCACCCAGAAGCACTACTTCTGTGACATTCCATTCCCATTAACTCCCACCAGCCTGGATCCATAGGTTACCACTGGCTTTTCTTTGGCACATTGAGATTCCAAACTGATATTTCATAAACCTCATGGTCAGCATCTGACCCTTGAGGGGAACAGTCCCACATATTAAAGAAGGACAGTCACTGATCAATGTGTGGACTGGTGAGGTACTTTACTACAAAGTTTGAGGCTATTGAGTACAAAAGAATAAAAGTACAAAGAAATCTCCACTGGGCCATACCACATCTGTGTGTAGGCGGTTTTTAAATATTCTGTTTAATGTTAAAAGATTATTAACTTGGAAACCTACACTTGATTAAATCTCAAGTACTACCTTAGCAACCCAGCCCTGGAGAAAGTTTTCAAATTGAGGGCCTCCCCCGCTTCTTCAGAAATCATTTTAAGTTATTATCCTAGGGGCCCAGAGTTTAAATATACACCATTAGATGATGTTAGTTAAGATGTGGCAAAGTCTCTTAGCCAACTACCCTGGATGCCACGTAATAAAACAGTTTGAGTAGCTATTTGAACAATACTCACATGTCATTTGAAAAACTGGTTGTAAACTACTTAATATGGCTCTCTGTGGATACAATAGAAAATACATGGAAAACTAGTTTTAGTTTCAAAAATAGGCATTGAATATGCTGTCTTCTAGAAAGACCATTGAACATCTGCAATTCCCATTGGAAATTAAAGGAAAATCATATCGGAGTTAATAAATTACTTCTTTCTATATATACGCAACCCTCAACCCCAGCCTTTGTCATTTAGATGCTTTTAATTCAGAGGGTTTTCTTGTGAAGTGAGAGTGCCCATGTAACTGTTTCTCATGGTGCCCCAGTAGAATCAGCCAATAATACCCCACACCTTCATTTAGAAGACAAGAAACTGAAGCTCAGAGTTAAGGGAGTTAATAAGAGTTACACAATATGATACTGGGGTCAAACTTAGAGTTCTGTTCTTAAAGCCTCCCAATCAGTTGCTAAGCTAGGTTGACCTCCTCAAGTACAGGCGCACCTCGGAGACATTGTGTGTTCCCTTCCAGTCACTGCAATAAAGCAAGTATTGCAATAAAGCGAGATGTAATCTTTTTGATGGTGGAGGATCTTGCCTTCAATTTGTGAAAACACACCATCTGTGGAATGCAACAAAGTGAGGTGAAATAAAATGAACTATGCCTGTATTAGCAGCCAAAAAGACAAAGCACATAGCACCAAGGTTCCTGCCCTCCCCTACTTTTGAATAACACAAATTGGGAAAAAAAAATTTTCATTTTATAAGTGGCATTTACTTCACTTTACAGGAGTCCACAAACCCTGGAATAAACTATAAAATACAACAGAATGATAGTAGAAGCATAAGGATAAAAAGTTGAGATGATACGCATCTAAGGAATGATAAGTCCATAGGATGAAATTAAGAGAATGAGAATAACTGATGGGCATCATAGGACTAAGATGATGATAAGAGGGTGGAGCTAAGATGAAAGTAACAAGCTGGGAGACAGTTGAAAAGGCTATGAAAGGAGGGTGGGTGAGATGGTTTAGCAATACAAATGGTCTTGTGGGAATGAGGGCAGAGTGCAGCTACCCAGCTGTGAACAGTGTGATGAGAAAATATTAAGCTGAGTTATTTAAACAGTCTGAATAATAACAGTAATAATAAAAATAAAATACAGTAGAGAGAATATAATATGGGACAGTGGTCTCCAACTGCTGCATAAACTGCTGAAAGCAGTTTAGCTATTTATTTTCAAAGCTGGAAACATAACACCAAATAACCAGTGGAGGTTTAAACCATTTTTCTACTTGACACTTGTGTAACTAAGACACAATTGTTCACTGCACTGTTACTGACCTGCTCCATCTTAATGCACTTAGAAAACTTTGGCATTTAGGCTACAACTTTTAGCTAAGCTAGAAAAAATAAAAGCCCACTCTGCAAGGAGACCAGGTTTTCTGCATCCAGATGTACTAAGTGCCAAAATTCCAGGCAAAATCTACTCTTTCTAAGCTCATGGTACAAAGTGGCAGGAAGATCAAATTTGAATATGTGTACATATGTATGGTTTTCTCTCTATGGTTTGGATTTTTCTTGATTTTCATTTATCATTGGTCTTTATTTAACCATGCTGATAGGAGGATTGTAGAAAAGTGTGCGCTGATTATGTTATACTGCAGGGTTTGGGGTAGCAAAGAATGCCTCCTATATTATCCTTAATGCACCATTCTGCCTCCCTGAAAGATCCTCAGAGGAGGATTTAGAGTTAAACCTGGGGTTTTGATGAGATAACTAGAGGATACCTTCAAGCCTGCACTCTGTGGCATCTACAATTTGTGTTCAGTAGCTTAGGCATGGGACTGTGAGGGAAAACATAAGCTAAGACTCAAGTGTTCAAAAGAAAAGCACTTCTTATTACTCAACAGGATATATCATCAAACAATTTTGATTGGTTGATCAAATTTTAGGTGAGATTGTATTACCACAAGAGGATGGGATTAAGGAAAAGACTAAAACTAAAAGTATATCATGCCAAGAAACATATTACCTTGGCATTACTATTGCACTGATATCAGTAATCTGGAAACAAAAACCTGAGGGAGAAGTTGAATTAGTATTCCCCAAAATAAATTTTCCAGATGCTTGGCTAAAGCTGATATGAGCTATAGTGCTCAGGGAGAGGAAAGGCATCCTTAGCCACCATAGTTCCATCTGTTATAAGTTCAAGAAACCAGAACCAGGATCAAAATTCGTAACCTGAACTTGATCACTAGTGATTTAAACACCCTCAACTCTAATCCTCCAAAAAATCTATAATTTTGGTAGTGGGTTTTTCCAGCGAAGGGTAGGGTCCTATGTGTAGGGTTATCAGAATGGGATGTTGTGTCCTGCTCTTGCTAACTTTTTTGAAAAGGCTTTGGATTTTAAGTGTTACTAGTAGCTCTCTGATACTTTAGTGTTGGTAGAAAGATTATATCTCCCAAACACTTTATGGGATATATAATCCTACCGGCATGGAAATTCATCTGTTTTATAATTGTCTGAGTATCTAAATATGAATAAGATATATAGATATATCTATATATAAACTCTCCATGATGATTACTATTTTTTCCCCTTCAGAGCGTGTTTTACCCACAATCCCCTACCCCATTCAAGGTCAGTATGATTTTTATCACTGTAGCTCTGTCACTGGGTCATTCTCCATCATCTATAATGTGCAAAAAAAAAGGGGGGAAACACATTCACAAAAGTAACATACAATTGAAATCATTTTTTAAAATCTACAAAAGAAAACCAATAAGTTGCCCCCACACCAGTCGATAAGCACGCCATAGATTTGTCACCTGACTAAACTTCAGGCTATTCAGTAGTTGGGAAAATGATAATAAACTCAGAAAGCAATCTTTTCTTTAATTATTGGAAATTATAAACTTACATAATTGGAACACAGCCAATTAAATTCTGTAGCTCATAAAAGTATGAATCCTCTAACTGACCACCCTCATATTTAGAGGCTTATAAAATCCGAAACTGGAGTATTACTTGTAAAAATGAATTATCTACTGCCTAAGGTTGAACTCAAATAGATTACAAGAACATTGATTTTTCTTTAAATCGTGGCCTATTTGGGGGCTTTTCCTTTTCAACATAACCATTTTAGAAAACACAAATAAAAAAAAGTAAGGTAGTCATTTTGTATTCCTTTTCATAAAAGTCTCTACACACTCAAATTAAATTTTGCCTCCTACATCACATTTAGATGCAAGTTGCAGCCCAACCTTCTAGCTTAAGGCTGTTTAAAGGCAAATTGGCAAATGAAATTAAAACAATACAAAAAAACCTGAAATGAAACCAACCTACCATTGAAATTAAATTCCTGAAAAGTGATTTGCAAATAACACTCAAAGACCTGAGAAAAAAATGGAAAGTAGGCCATGCGGGGGGCTAATGTGGAAAAAAATAAATCCAATTAAACAAGATTATCATATACACTCTAAGGAAATGTGCTCAGAATTAAAGGTAGAAAGCTGCTGTTTTATTAGTTTGAAGACAGATCATGTTTCATTAACACTTGTCCAAACTAAAAAATAGGTCAGAATTGGGTGTAGATATTCAGTGTCAATAATGCATTCATAGATATGTGAACTTAATTATATTTGAAATGAGGATTGCAAGGTTTAAAGGATCAATTAAACAGCTTAGTAAAAGTTATTCTTACATTTTAAGAAGTGTTCAAACTATTTTTAGAAGAATGCTGTTGAATAAAATCCTTCCCCATAACATTAATGAAATCCATTTCTTGTGCCAATTACTAAAAATAAGACTGTTAAAATGTGCCTGTTGTTTAGACTTGACATCAAACTTACAGTGTTCATGGAAAATATCGTATTTTGAATTCCTGACATGCCACAATTATTTTAAGACTTTCATCATTTAGCGTTGCAGACTTTGACACCGTTTTATCATGTTGCCATCTTGCAAGTATCTTGACGTGACAAACACACATATACACATTTGTCCCAATGGATAGCATTTTCAAAGAGGTTCAGCTCCATCCAAGATGAACTTTGCACAGTGTCAATGTGACTATAGGTGTCCTTTGTGAGAGCAGTTCTGCAGCTAGGAACTCAAATATTTTATTTGATCATGCTTTATGATATATGTAACATTGAACAAATAAAGCCAGACACAATTCACAAAGGACAGCTGTTGGATATTGAAAAACAGTCTGGATTAAGGATTGAGATATGGGATTTTATTGAATTTGATATTTCCCTACAAACTGAATTGTTGATTGGAGAATGACCCTAGTTTGATTTTACATTGTAGATAGACTGTAGATAGCTTCTGTAGATCCATTAGTTTTAGAGAATATAGTTTATCTTACTAATACTTTGAGCTTCTGCTGGTGGAAATTGAAAAGCTGTTCATGGAGACTGGGGATAGTTGGTGTGAGAGTTTGGGAAGAAAAGATAGTGCCCTCTTAAGTTCCCTATTCCTTACAAGGACTTGATTTTTCTAGAGATCAAATCCCTTTTCTCCTTGTCTTTCCAATCAAGATGGCAACTCATGTGAAATGTAGTTCCCAATGGAAAGAAAAAAAACTATTTTAGAGGACCCTTCATTTTTTACAGTATCATTTAAGTACAGAAATATCTAGGAAAGCATGCCAGTCTTGCTGTGATCATAGTTATGACACCAGACACCTTCATTTAATTAAATATGTCATCATCTATGTGGAATCCTACATTTCAGCCCTAAGTGTTAAAAAGTGTATAAGCCATTGGTTGATGCAAATGGCCTGAAGGATTTTGAACCAATTAATTTGCTTAAGGTGTTTTGACAGTAGGAGAAAGTCCCAAAGGTCCTTTGCTGTCCTCCCATTATAAGAAAGAGAACTTTTCCTCCTACTTCCCAGTCACAGAAATGCATGTATATGTTCAGGGGCTTCACTGTTCCTACCTCCCAGTGGAGGGTGTCCCCTCCCACTCCCACTCTATGAGGCTCATCAGGCTGACTGGAGATAAGCAGCAGTCACAGCAGGGATGCAGTCCTAAACCCGTCAAGCTGTGATTAAACAAAAACAAGGCTCAATAAATCAAATGTATGTCCCCTGGGTTTCCTTCATCATATCGCTTGATTTTCTGCAGTGATAATGATAATACTGGAATTACACCAAATGATAATTTGTATTGTCTGTGGCCAATCAGAAATTTTTCAAATGTCCTTTTCTATTCAGCCAAAAACCAAACAAAAAAATCAGTGTGCTTCCCTGCTCCTAATTTACAAGATATATATAAATAAATAAAAGTGCTAAATCCTTGATCTGTTCCTGATAGGTGTTTTTCTCATTAATTTTAATTTAGGTTTATTTATTCTGAAATGAGTTCTGAATGGCATATATTTGCATAACTACTCCGGAATATATCACTGCAGAAACTCCACTGAATAGTCAAATGAGGAAGGAGTCTACTCCAACCCTCCTTGCAGGGAAGGAACTCCTCTCACTTTCTTGGGCTCAAGTCATTTCCTGAGGCTTCTGAATACTTGCCCATCACGATGAAAGTGCACCTAGAGATGCCCTCATATTTAGGAGGACTGCAGGTTCAAAATGAGGTGAGCAACTGGCCTCAGACAGTTAAAGGGACATGAAAGAAAAGGACAAGGACAAACACCATTATCTTATTCTTATCGCCCTCAAGTGAAGGATTCCCTTGAGTGTGGGGCTCTCTGGGCTCAATCAGCCCATCCTTCCCTGTCACTGCAACTTAAGAAATGTAATGACCCTGGAATATCTCACTTGTCTCCCATCTGATTATTTATCCCAAGCGAACAGCCTTTTCATTCACTAACCCCCCGTGGCAAGTGGGTTTGGGAAATGTTGAGATTATCTTCCAGGTTCGGGCATTGGCACTGGGTTTGTTCACAGCTACTTGCCATTCAGTTCCTGTTTTTCCATTGATAAAACACATTGCACATGGCTGGGTTTGCATGATTAATACAGCTGTCTAAAGCTTTCTCTGAAAAAAAAAACAACCCCCCCCCCGCAAAAAAAATTGAAGTTTTAAAAAAATTAAAATCTGATCCATAAACCAGGCTTGCAAAAATCTGAAGTCTGCCTGGGATGCTTCCTCCTGAGAGAGACCCGTGTTGTTATGGGCAGGCCTGGCGTCAGAACAGCCAGATTCCATCTACAAAAGGAGGAGGGGATACTCCTGCCCTCACCTGGCACTCCTGGGAATGGGTTCTCAAAATCAGACTGCGTGGGATGGGAAGACAGCTGGAAGAAAATCCTAAAAATATCCCAAGCTGTGAAGATGACTGTATAATTCCTACAGCTTTATTTATATTCTGTAGGATATTATCCTAGGTTATCAAAGAGAGCATGCCTCTTTTCAGCTCCTTATATTAATAGCACACTCACCTTGTCTAATAATGGTATTAATTATAGCTAACATAGTGGGCTTCTCATGTGGCAATGGAGTTCTAAGCCTTCTTGCATGTATTAACTCAATTAATGCCCACAATCCTAAGAAACTAACATGCACCTTTTCCCACATTTCTTAAGCATCACAGTATACCCAAATTCCAGTTTACCCAACACAGCACCCAGGCACATATGTAAATCTGTTGTACATTTTAAATAAACACTATCTTTGCATTTATGTTCATTAGATGTATATCTGTCTAATGAATTTAAAAATTTTGTCTAATACTTTATGTATTATAATGTCTGTAATCCACAATACTCAGTTACCTTAATATCCACACACTTTACAAGTCCATTTCCAAACAGAATGTATCACGCAGAGATTTATATGAAAGCATTCATCTTTAAAAAACATGAGCAGAGCTCTCTGGCATCGGCACATCTAATTTCACACACTTATTCAGGCTGATTTACATACAAACCTCTATTAATCATGAATAATTACTAGCATTGTTCTCTTTAATTCAGTTTTTCCAACTGTGAAATGGGAAAGAAATTATATTTTCCATGCCTACTAGCTCAAAGCAATGTTTTAAATAATATATTAAAGAGAGCTTTCAAGTTCCTAGAAAGAAAGCATATTGGATTTAAAATAATCATATTCAGATACACACATGTCTCATGATATTTAAAAGGACTGATATTTAGAGATGTACTTGTAGCATATTGTCTGAATATTAACCAGATATAAGTTCAGTGTGGCTTCATTATAGTTTGACATGTTACAGATTCTAGGAATATCTGAAATACCCACAGTGCTAACAAGTTTAAATATAGAAGTATCCCAAGGCCAAATAAAAAAATTATTATTATTCATCAACAGCATAATACTACATTTAAGCGGACCTGCAAGTTGCGCAGTTTCCTGTTGTATGGCACACCACACACACACACACACACACACACACACACTCATACACTTTCATTGGATGTCCATCAGGCACATTACCACCTATTAGACTAATTCAAAGTCATCAATTTAAAGAATCTGCCCTTTTTTCTGGTCAAAGATATAAAACATGTTTTAGAAAAGGTTTCAGTTTTTATATATATTACTCCTTTGCTACTAGCTGGTACAAACATGGGCCTTGTTTTTACTAATAGAACTTTGGCAGCCATGTCAACACAAATTTACAGCAAAATCATGAACCCTGATTAATACACA